GGGGTGGCTTCTTATTGAGGATGTTAGAAATAACAGCCGGTGGGTAACCATTAGCTTCTAACGCGGTCCTAACATGATTGGTTTCACATGTTTTTCCTTCAAAGCTGCTAGGGAGGTTAGATGCCCAGAACAGGAGGGTCGAGGCCGTGCTGATTTTGTGTTCTTTTGCATGATGGGAAGAGAAATCCAAATAATATTGGGCAGATGTGAAATTGGGAAAGGCTGTCATATGGGGCCTCTCTCCTATCCATCTCTCTCTTCTTGATCCCTTCACAATGCTCAAACTGAAGGTAAGTTTCAGTAAGGTAAGTGAACCTACCATTCAGCAATAGAAACCATAGCATCTTCAGGTTGATTTCCAACAACGTGATCAATAAAACACAGTTTGCCTGGTGGTCTGTACAATAAAGACAAAACAACCACAGAGTTAACAGTACATAAATACAAAACAATAAGTAAATAAAAAATAAAAAATAAAAATAAATATATGAATATATAACAGTTGTTATTATACAATTATAAATTTACCTGGTAAGCATATATGGATAGCAGTGTCATCCCCTTTGCTATGTCTGTGCTGCACATGAAGTTTGGATTATGTGCAGTTTATGATACCCTAGCCTAGCCAAGTCCTTGAGTCAATTTAAATTCCATTTATAGCTTTTGGCAAGTTGCAAAAATTAGGAATCAAAACTATACTGACAAAGGTTGATAAACTTATTATCCAAGCTAGATAGTCACTGTGAATTGTAAATTTTGGTTTGATTTTATTTCTAGTGAACAAAGTTTCATCCTGTTGTTTTCTCTCAGATTGATGAGAAAACAAGTGATACAGATCAAAAAAAAAAAAAAAAAAAAATCACAATAGCAATGTTACCACTGTTTTGGCATAATTTATTATATTAATTTCTACTTTAATTATACACAATTCATAAATGGCCTAGCAACTATCCAACAGATTTCAAAATATATAATTACCTAACCTTAGGGTGCATTCCTTTGGGGTGATCTGGATCAGGATCAGTGATCAAAGATCACTCAAATCAGGGTGCATCAAAGGGGTCAATGAATTTGAGACCAGAGAGGATTCATCAGTTCCTTTGATGCACCATGATCTGAGTGATCTTGGATCACTGATCCTGATCCAGATCACCCCAAAGGATTGTGCCCCTAATTAAAATGAAGATGTTTCCATGCACACTTTGTGGGTTTTTGACCATTGCTTATTGTTAAATTTACTATATGATATTTATTCTATAGTTGAATATTTCTCTTCACAGCTAGTTCAAGGTTTGGAAGGTACGCACAACTTAGAAAGATGACAATCTTTGGTTACTGGAGGTTTGTAGCCTGGAAGGAAGAGCCCGTTAAACTCCTTTCTTTCAACGAATGTGTGTGTGGTGTCCCCATACTACAAGCAAACAGACAGTGCAGGCATTAACTTTTTGTTTAAACTATTATGTTCCTCAACAGTTATAACAGATCAACCTTCTATATTTTGTCAAATTTTTGCAACATATATAGTTATGGTTTGACCACATGAAAAAAACTTAGAAAGAAATAAACTGTCAAAAAACTTATTACTAAAACAAATTTACAAAATCTGTTAAATTTAGATGCTGTGAAAATGTCATACTAAGTCACCGACTTCAGTTCTTCAATAGCTCCACAAATTACAGTAACCACAATTTCTGAAACTAATATTACAATTTGTTATAGATCATTTATTGGTCAGGAATAAATTCAATTCACTTACAGTTTGAACAGTAGCAAAAGTGACAGTGCCCCCTCCATCTGTCTCCTCCCAGGGCTCACGGACAGATATGGCACCACGTTTAATGGCAGCCTAAATTACAAAGAAAATTAAAACAAAAGAACAACGTGTTACACTGTTATGAGAGAGCCTGTGTGGCAGAGATCAAGGATCTTACTGCAACCTACATGAGAAAACAGCCAAAGAAAAAACACTTATTTTTTTCCACCAGCTATTATTTATTACCAAGTGATATCTCAGACTTCAGCTTAAAAATTTTATCCTGGTTGTAAATAGGTCACTGTGTCATCTCTGACAGGTTGATGAAATCAAATGATGAGCAGTCACAACAATGTAGTTACCTTGTAAAGAGCTATACAATCCTCCACTTCAAAAGCAACATCTTTTACTCCATCACCATGTAACATCAGGTGCTTTCCCATAACTACAGAAGGAAAAATTATGTAAGGTTGCAAAATGTCAGCCAAAAAATAAATGGGTATTTTATACTGCCAGGGCTTTGAAATATATTTGCTGAGGACAATGACCCCAACACAAGTCACTGATAAATCAGTGCTAAGCTTGTCCCTATTAAATCCTGTGTCCTTTAAGTGTGAATCCACCAAATAGTGTTAAACATGGAATAATGTCTTTAACTGATTAACAGAAAGATAATAGCTGGCATGTCATTACCTGGTGAGGACAAGACCTCGGTAAGATTCTCAGCAAGTTTTTGCTGCTGAGAGTTTGAGATATCTGCAATCGGCAGAAAAAAACTTGCTGAGAATCTCAGTGAGATCACTCAGATCATATTTCTGAGATGTGAAAAATATTCAAAAATTTAAAATCATATAAATATTAACCCTTTGAATGCCAACCCAGGTACAGGCCCTGCAACCGGCGGCCATATTGGATTTTGCACAACTTTTTTTTTTTAAATTTAAGGACTTTTAGCCCTTCAGGACTCATTTTAGTTTCCATTCTTACACTAGAAAAGTCAATACAGTAAGTATGCAAATGATATGGCAAGGCAGCCACCAATGGTATGGCAGCCTGTTTTAATTCATAACAAAACACTGCTTTGTGATAACAAAACTTCTTTGAGACTTTTTATACAACATATATGTATTCTTTGTAACTAGTTACATTATACTTATACCAGAGAAGTGAATAAATAAAACATTCTCTATGTTATGGCTCATCTATTTTCAGTCAGTCATGACTGGTGGCCATCTTGAATTTATAATTAGATGAAATGTACTAAAAGGTTATCATAAACAGAAATGTCTCATGTATTAGGCTTGACAAAAAGAAATGAAGTTCACTGGCTTCAATAGTTAGCTTGTGTGTGGAATATTTGAAAGCATGGCGCA